AAGAGGCAGAGCGGGAGGGGGGCCAAGTTGCTGCACCATGGGCCCCTGGGCTAAAAGTTGCCAGTCAGACCCTGCTGTATTTCGCACCTGACGGGCGCCGAGAGCTGATTTAATTGCGGATGGCATCGGCGCCCGGCGGTTACGGTATTTAGAATTGTAAGCGGCGTTGGACTACATGTCGCAACTGCGGGGTGCAGATGCCATCCGTAATTAAATCAGCTCTCGGCACCCAGCAGTTGTGACATGCCATTAAATTTATTAGTGCCCGTCCAGATTTGACTGTGGTATCTTATGTGCCCCCCCATATATTGTTCCTAGAGTCGCCACTGAAGGAGAGGCAGCTGTGTGCGCCATATGCTTGCTGTTTTCGGCAGAGCCGCAGCCAAACTAGTAGATGCGGCTGTGTTAAAGTGGCGGGGCAGTGTCCCCCGCCTCCCGGGTCCAACAGACACTGCTGTTGCCGCTTTAACACAGTTGAATCTACTAGTTTGGCTGCGGCGTGGCTGAAAAGAGCACAGAGATAGCGTGGGAGGAGGGGGGTTTGTTACGCTGTGGTGGTTGTGTACAGACCGAGAGCAGACTTCAGCATTACTGCCTGTTCTATAACTGCCAGAAGCTCAAACATTCGGTCTACTCCTGCCTATTGCTCTGAAGACTGAAAAGAGACTTGCTGATCATTTCACCCATGCTGAACTCCAAAGCTCAGTTTTAATATGTTTATGGAAACATAGTTTATCAACACATATAATCACCTAACTTATATAATTATATAATACCAACAACAGATACAAAATCTTCCCCTGGTGAGACCTCTGCATCTGCCTCTGGTGAGACCTCCGCATCTGCCCCTTATGAGACCCTCCGCATCTGCCCCTGCTGAGACCCTCTGCACCGGCCCCTGGTGGGACCCTCCGCATTTGCTGCACCCACCTGCTGGACCTGCTAAAGGTGAGCATGTGTGCTGGCATGGAAGGAGCTGCCCAGCAATGCACGTGTGTGGGTGACATCCCACGGGGATCAGACTGTGTGTGATGGCTGATCCCGGAGATGTTGCTGTGTATGTGTCATTCTAACTGCCCAGTCTGCCATACATTGGATCTGGTCTGAGGTCTGCAGTGTATTGGTTCTGGTCTGAGGTCTGTCTTGTATTGGTTCTAATCTGAGGTCTGCCATGTATTGGTTCTGGTCTGAAGTGTGCGTTGTATTGGTTCTGGCCTGAGATCTGCTATGCATTCTGCCATTTAGCTCGCTTTCCAAATTGCTTATATTGGTCTAGATTTTAAAATTCTCCTACCAGTTCCCCAGCAATTCATCTCTTAGTGAATTGGCCACTATTTGAAAAATAATGTGGAGAAAAAATGTCTGCGACACAAGAATGTCTATGCAGGTGGGGAGTGTGGGAGGGGCTTGTATATGGGCGGAGCACAAGGGGGCCCCATAATCTTGTATTGCCCGGGGGCCCCATGTGTTGTCAGTCCGCCCCTGAGTATGTCTATGTAAATTTGCAGCCATTCAGCCAAAAGGGTGCTTGTATGGTGAGGTGCTGGTTTTGGATAAGAAAACCTGGCTCAACATTAGTTTTCGAATGTATACTAAAGGTGGTCAATAGTGTTGAGGATAGGGCTCTGTGCAGACCAGTGGAGTTGCTCCACTCCTAACTCTGAAAACCTGGCTTGGTGCACGGGGCACAGACATGCTGACACCGAAAAGGGCCTTCTCTAACTAGTTGCCACAAGGTTGTAAGTACATACTTATCTAAACTGAATGTGTATGTTGTAGCATTAACAGTACCCTTCAATGGAAACACCTACAGTATTCTCAATATTTAAAGCAGTGTATTAACATGGCCACGTAACATAGCTGTGATGATCAGTTGTCCATTAGCTTTTGGCCATATAGTGTATTTAACCCAAATTTTTACATGAAAGAGGAAATTAAGACATTACTCATTTACATTTATATTAAATACAGTGGGGAAAAGGGTTAGAATGTCTGTCAGGTTTTATGGGGTTTCAGTGTCTTTGTCTACAACGTGCTGACTTCCCCAAATTAGGAAGAATTGAATAATAAGCAAAACAAATATCTAACAAAATTCAAAACAAAAATAATTATGGTAAAATTAATAATGGTAAGAAAGCCTGGGTGGGGGGTGCAAGATTACTAATTTGCCTTCCTTGATTGCATCATTGAGGAATGCATAGCAAACATAAATTCACACAATAAAACTTTTGGGCAAAAAGTGTATTTAAAGTGGGTGTTTGGAAGAAAACCTAACTTGATTTTGCCATGTTTATTATTACTAAACCCCACTGGTTTTCTACGCCTATTGAGCCATGGCCATGTTAATACACAACAATAGACAATACAAACTTTTACTGCACCACATCAGTTTTCAATGGAGTAGAGGTTTCCAAACAATAATTCCAGACAAATAGCCCATGAACTCGTTACAAGTATACTACAGGGTACCATAGACTGAGAACCTTTGCTATCTTTTTTCTTTGGCCCCATTTCAGTAAATGTGGCCCCGTATTATAGTGTTTGTATAAACTGATACATAAAAGCAGCACTCAATGTACGTTGTATACCTTGCATATAGCAATGGAACTTTTTATTTACAGATCACCAGGACCACACCAGCCAAAACTGGAGTAATAGAGTATTTTGTACACAGTGAGGGGAATTTATCAAAACTGGAGCAGACAAAATCTGGAACAGCTGCGCACGGCAACCAACCAGCATCCACCTTTCATTTTCAAAACTTAACTGAAGAGAGAAGCTGATTGGTTGCCATGGGAAACTGCTCCAGATTTTGTCTGCTCCAGTTTTAATACATTTCCCCCATAGTATATTAAGAGTGATTTATTAAAACTGAGAATGATAAAACATACACAAAGGATTCAACTGAAGAGTTACCATTTGGCGGCATGAATTACATCACACAGACCTACACTTCACAGCTTCAATAGGTCAGAAGAGAAAGTAAACCTACAATAAGGATATGACTCTAGGAAGAGGTGGTGAGTGTGTAAGATTCTATGGCAGTGGTGATAAGAGGTTATAGGCCTAATTTACTAAGCTTTTTTACTCATAATGTGCCATGACAACCAACATGTTTAGCTAAAAAAACAATGATAGTTGAAAATATTGAACATTATGGACAAATAACCCATGTGTTATGGTTCAGTGAATCAAAACCTGTATGTGTTTAAAAGAAGGAGATTCTAACCGAAACTTACTTTTATCTTATTCCATTGCTGCTGGAGGACAGCATTGCTCTTATGTTGGAAACCGGAAATGAATTTTAGGGGGTGGTTAATCTTGAAATGTTCAGATAGGTAACAATTTAAGTGGAACTGAACTCTGGAAGCAGTGTGCAAAAAAAAGGGGAGGGAAGGGCATAGGAGTAGTCACCAGTATTGCAGCTGATTTTTCCCCATTACTGACCTACCATGCCTTGTTCTGCACTGTGTTTCTGTGTAGAGGCAGCCATATTGATAAAACCAGGACTTTACTTCCTTGTGTCAGAGCTTCCAGAAAGGAGAACAGAGAGCAGTACAGTAGGGGTATCTGCAATTTTCCTGGGACTAGCAGTCAGTGGCAGCAGTGCATTAGATCTCACACTACAGATGTACAGTTCTTTAGGTCATGAGTACCTAGGCATCCTCACATACCAGGAAGTGTACTATTTTTTAGAAGGAATTCAAGACAAAGGTAATGGATAAAGTCTAGACACAATTAACACTTCTAGATGTTCCCCATAATATAGCAATTCTTCATTTTTTTAAGTTTAGTTCCACTTTAAGGGCTAGGCTTATGCTTTAGTGCAGGTGATAGCTGGTGTAGAAAATGTTACCGTTGGTATCCCTGTGAAATATGTTTGTGTATGTGCAGCCACAAAATTTTAGAACCATTGTCTGGTTTTACTGCTATCTGGGGCTCCATTAGAGAGATTTCCCCTCACTTCCAGGCCAGGTAAAACAGTTACACCTCACAGGAGGTGAGGAAACTCACAAAAACCGCAACCCAGACAGAAATTGCTTTTATTTATTAGAATAGGAGAGCATTTGAACCTCTGTTAGCTTTATATTGCTGTCTGTTTCCCTGTTGCATATTTTTTTGTCTGGTGAAACTGACATTAAAGGGAAATCTCATCAGAGAACCTTTCAATAGCAGTGCAAACTTGGCCGAGGTTCTAATCTTTCCCCACTGTATCCAAAGCAAAAAACGTTTTGTGCTGGACATACACTTTAATTTGGCAGCTGATCTGACCACTTGCATTAACCCAAATTGTATAAGCTTTGGTGGACTGGTCCTTTAAAGGCCCTTAACCACATATCTTAGGATTGTGTGCTTTTAATTAGGGGAAGTGTTTGATCATGTCTACTAAAAGAAAAAAAAAAGAACAGCTACTGCTTGAAAGAAATTAACAAAACAAAAAGGTGCCCTTCTGATCCAAACAGATGTTACTTTTATGAATACAGGCTAGTAACCCAGAATAAAACAACAATATAATGATTCCACCTTGTGTCACCAACAGCCAGTTAAATGACTCCGGGAATGTGTCAAATTGCCCTTCACAAGGTGGCCACACTTTAGAAAAACCTGAACCTCACAGCTTGGATAATTTTAATAAATGTACAATTAAGAATGGTCAAGTGTCAGCTTGCCCACCAATGAAAATGTCATGCAAGAGAACAGAATGAGAGCTGAATTCAATAAAGGATTCTAAAAATTAGTGGCGGAAATACAGCATGCCTAATCAGATATATACAGACAATTAATGTTAGGGTGCGGACAGTCCACGGATAGCCAGTAAATACCCGCCCTCCTGTGATTATTCTTAGAGGCAATGTATCAAGGTGGTGTAGGCTATAAGTTATGCTGTGCTGTGTACATTGCGCACCTTCCGAAAAAAATTATTAATTTATCCAGCAATCAAATTGATCCTTTAAAAAAAACCAAATGGGAACAAGGTTCCAAACAGCTGACTTTTTCACTCCTAATTTGTAGCATGAATGTCATACAGTTTGAGTTTTGATTTTGAGACTTTGATAGTTCAGTGATTTTGATGTCAGAAAACAAAGTACGGGGTAGCACAAATGAAGCAGCACTGGTGTTTTAAATAAAACTGCAGTTCTACCCAAATTAGTTTTATTTGTTTATAGAGCATTATGTGTTCTACCCAATACATGTTAGCATCGTTAAATGACAACGGCTACAATAAAGAACAATATATTCTGATCTTTCTAATGCAATTCATCTTTGGGTTTCATGCTCAGTTTGTATATGATCTGGTAACCATCATCCCAAGCATAGATCTGCCGATCCTTAGGATTATACTTCATACTGGAATGGGACCCATACCTTTTAGGAAAGTAAACAACTGGTACATTTTCACTGGATATGGTGCCACTGACATCAAAGATACACTGTATACGAGAGCGACTTGGGAGTTTGGTGTTATACACTACATAGAGAGTACCACAGACCACAAAAGCACTTTCTGCATTTTCTATCGGACATGGAGTATCCCACATCTGCTCAATGCCAAGGTTTTTGGAGTCCAGTTTAGCTAAGCATATATTTTTCTCATTTTCCCTGGTAGCATAGATGACCCATAGACCTTCTTCGTCAGCTACTATATCTATGTAGTTATGCTTGGATAAACCATAAACTGGTACTTGATCTTCGATTGGTAATACAGCACTATCATCCACTGTTTTGTTTGCCAAGTTGAATTTGATAACTTGAAATTCCTCTGTTTGTCGAACATAATAAAGGTAGCCTCCATAAACAATATGCCCAGTTCCAATCCATGGGAAAGGGAGTTTGATCCGAGCTGCTTTGCGTGTTGAAGTGGAAAGAGTGAATTCTTTCATGCGGGGAAACACAAAAAAAGTGTCATTTGCAGCACCATCAAAGACATAAATTCTCTCTGAATTCCCTATGGGGTCCTTCGTCCAAAGGCCAGCAGAGCTCCCAAAGCGTTTCAGTATTTTCATGGCATTAACTTGAGAAACGGTGTCACTGCAGTCTACAGAAGCAGATATGATAATAAAAGACAAAAGTAAACATATATTATATCAACAGAACCTATTAAATCAGTACAGTACACTACAGTGTACTTAGTCAGCTATCTAGCCATTAATGTGTTACCATAACATGCATTATAACACGTTATGACACACATTCCAATAAGCATTGTTTTGTGAACAAGCCCTGAAGGTCAAAGCTTAGACTCTCCCCCAACATGCAAGCCTGTGGGTTGGTTACAGAGGCACAGTGCCATGCATTAATTTTCAGCTGATTTGGTAGTTATTACAAACTGACCTTACTAAAATATACATGAAATACCTCCAAGGCTGTTATCTCTATGCTCAGTGTTCAAGAAATGAAAAATGAATGGTCTCATTTAAAGAGACTCACAAAGCAAAACACCTGTGTGATTTGGCTATCATGCAAGCAACCTTTCCACGACTCGCTTGCCTCATACTAGTTCTGGGAAAGTAGAAATAATCATTTTTATTGAGTCACTGCTCTGTATCTAGTTTGCAGCACTTGAGTCATGGGCTGACTCCCTGATGTCTCCATAAAGAGGACCTGTCACATATTTTGCTATCACATAAGGGGGTTTTATTCGATATATTTATCGATTTTTTTAAAATTTGATTAATCGGTCACGAAAATTTTAATCAGTAACAGCCCTAATTTTTTTAATCATATGGAACCAAAATATTCCGTACAGCTTTTACAGCAAGCACTGAAACTTCCACATCAACCCCCAGCCTAGTCAGAAGCACACAAAGCCAATTTGGGTGGAGATTGGGTAATCTGCTGTTATGTTTTTGGAATGTGACTAAGCATTGGGACACTTGGAGGAAGCTTTCACAGACTCAGTGCAGATGGTGCCCCTGGGGAAATTGAACCTTGGACCACGGTATTCCTCATTAGAATGCTTAGAATGTCACTAATTAAAGTGACATCTTTAATTAACCACTTAATTCTGCTACCTAAAGGATGCATCCAGTATAAAGTAACATTTGATTCCACATACAGTTTCAAAGTGTAACTCCACATTTGTTGAGGAAAAAACAATCCTGTCCATGCCACCTGCATATATAGCAAGGATTTCAGCACACTTCATTGCAAACTTCCAGCTTTCATTGTGCTAAGTGGGAGGGTCTGCCTGTTACAGTGAACTGATCAGTCCCAGTGTTCTAAATTATCACCATAACTACAAGACACTTTTCTTTTTATTTTTAAAAACTCAAGGCTGGTTGCAGATTGAAATAAAAGATAACTCATAATAACACTATATTGTAAATTTGCTTGAGTAGTTCAATTAACAAAAGTGGAGTTACCTTTTAGGTGTAAAAAAAAAAAAAAGACAAACGGGGTTAATGGAACCCACTTACATGACTTCCGGTTGACAGGAGGACTCTCTTCCACATCTGGCTCCACATTGTCAGCGATCTCAGCCTTGGGGCAACCTATTATAACATGAGAGGTAGGTTCCACTAACCCCTGTGAACTTGCAGTATTGATGGCAGATTATGCGAAAATTATCAGTATTCATTTATGCAAATATACCCTTTAGGTCAACAAATGCTAGATGTGATCAAAATGCATTTGAAAATTAGATACTGTACATATTGTATGTATAAGTATTATATAGCTCAAGGTAAGGTTCAACGCTTTACTCCTTTTTACTTCTACATTTTATCTTAATAAAATGGTAGCAAGATAATAAAGTAATGTGAGTGGGAAAATGCTTTACTGCACATGTCAATAACATTGTAATTGTAACAGTAATTGTAAGTTAGATCTTTGCCAGATAATACACATTGTACTGTGGAACTAATGTAGTGTGAAAGATGTTAAGAGTTAAGGTAAATTAAGCCCATATATTTCCAAAGCAGAAGGATGAGTGGTTTCTTACATAGAAAGGGCAGCTGAGGTGATTTCTAATCATTTCTAATCGTCAGTATATAAATCACTTTCTACTTAGCTATTCTTTGTACGCTTTGTACAATTTGTATTATTGTAAAGTTAACAGCTGTGCTGTTAGAGCAGTGTAATGTATAAGTTAAATAACTTAGGTAATTCAACTGGTGAAAAGTAGTATGTGTTGAGTAAACTAGTATTTTTGAGTACTAATAAAATGCTATTCTGCTAAATCTAAAGGTTCTTTTGGAAAACAGATGTGCAATCACAACAATACTACCACTGCACCATGTAGTTGAATCACCCAGTTCCAGGTGAAACTTTTTAATGTTTTAGTTTTTTAAGGAGTGGGGAAGAGATAGAATTTTTATTATGTTCTTGCTGTTACCCTGGTCCACATTAATGAGTTTTCCCATCACTCCCTGCCCTCCTGCCCTGCCTTCTCCACAACCTATCATTAGCTTCCTTAAGTGCCTATGGAAAGTTTTCTTTATGGCATTATTTTTTGAGGTAGCTGTAGTCCCTTAAACAGGGTATAAATCCTTTCTTTTGTGTGGTAAATAAAGGTGGCCTCTACGAACGCCAGGCTTATGAGAAGGTCACATCATTGTTTCATTAAGTTAAAAAAATTATCAGTCAGTGAGATAATATTTTGTTATAACTAAAGTTATAGCATATCTAAAGCCAAAACTTGTTTTTTCTTTTTCATACAGTTTGGTCAAGTCTCAGAAAGGGAGACTTACCCTCTATTTGCCCAGGTCACCACAGTTATTGGGGATTAAAAAATTTAACAGTTGGAGGAAATCTTCCAATGGGGACCATTATTTTGCAGGCAGTTGTCACTAACTTTAGAGAGATTTTCACTCACTTCCTGTTGTTTTTTCAGAGCAGAAAAAACAATGCAAACTGATTTTGTTGCATTTTTAACTATTGCCTGCTCTATCCAAAACTGAAATAAAGTTTTGGCTTGAGGTGCACTTTAAAATAATACAGTATATAATATATATAATATATATTTATTGTCTAGTCTCCAAATATAAGTATATTTGCACAGTTATTTCCCAATTAAGCATTTCAAAATATGAAGAAGCATACCTGTGAGTTTCTCATATTTTTCATTTTTCTTCTTCTTGATTTGTAGTTCTGTCAGTTTTTCATCTATCTCAACACATGGCGGTGCCGGGTTCTGAGTTTCCAGGTAGTCCACCTCTCTCTCTAGCCGGTCAACACGTACATTTGTGCTCTCCACCTCATTTCTCATGGCCTCTCTCTCTTTTTCTATGTTTTCCAGCATTTTCAGTACCTGGTTCTTGAAATCTCGAAGTTCTGAACTGTAGCGGCTGCTATGATCATGCCATTGTGCAATTCTTTCCTGCAAGCATTGTTATTTAAGTTTATGTTATTCTTTCGAAATGATAGTGTTTATATACTATTACTATTTACTTTTACATAATTGTCTTTTAGTAACCTCCCTTGTGTATATAGCAGATTTTGGACTTTGAAGCATGCCTGCTGCTGCATAGTCATTCACTTTCTGAAGACATGTGTGAGATACAAGCTTATCTTTGATGTGGTTGCATGTTTGTTTTGCTCTTGGAAGTGTATTAAATAGCAGGGACGAGGAAGAAAGGTTATGCACTAAACCTACAGTGTAGAGCAAAACATGCTCAGAATGTACTTCCACATCAATGAAGGAAAGATGAAACTTTTTTTGTTGACATTTAACTGAGAGCAGAAAAGCCTTCAAAGGTTAAATAGTCCACCTTTACATACAATCATTTTGATTTTGCTGTTTGAAGATACATCTTTAAAGTATGCTGATATTTACATGGTATGCAATGATGGATTTTTACCACTAGAGTCTACAGACTTAAGTGTTCTGGTTCTCACCCACCACACCACACCAAACCAGTTTAACTTAACCTTCTTGGCACGGGGTAAAACTGGGAGGTCATTTCTAGATTAGCTTATGTTAGAGAGATTTCTTCAACCTGCCTATGAAGTTGTGTTGCTTTCAAAATGTTAGTATACCAAGCGTGAAAACAAGGTACCAAGTGACACATCCGCCGCCAATACTATCAAGTAAATACCGCAACATCTGGCTTTCTGTGCGGGCCTCCGGTGACCCTCTGTCTTCACTGCCTCCACTGCAGTGACTGACTGCACATTAGGTTTTTAAAGATGGCCGTTAAGTCCAGTGATCTGCATCTCTTGCTGATGCAGATCATACTGATCGCTCCCTCGTGGTGCCGCCACTGACAGGCAGGGAGTGATTAGTATGGTCTGCATCAGCCTGAGATGCAGATCACACTGATCCTTCACTCGACCATCAGGATAATCCAAGTGCCACATTGGACCCCAGGAATGCAGCCCCCCTTCCTGCAAAACAGGTAAGCAGGAGAGGGGGACATTTTTAAATTAACTATTGTTATTAGTTGTGTGTGTGTGTTTTTTTTTTAAATTCTTTATTTCTACAAACATAAGAGTACATACACAGGAC